ACGGTATTGTCATGGGTCTATATGTTTGGTAATCCATTTGTGAATATTTTGGAGCAACCGAAGGTTTAACGGTTGATTGTAAGGTTACCTGTGCTAGTGAAGTGTGTGTATTTCTTGGTGTTGTTAAATTTGGACGTATCGGTGAAATACTTTGTTGTGTAGTTGTTGTTTGGACAATTTCTTCGTTTATGAAGTGCGATGGTGTCTGATTATCTTGTTGAGTGAGATTCCTAGTTCCATTAAGGTTTTCATTGTGTATGACGGTCGAGTTTAAACTGTTATTTCGAGTATCAGGTTAAAATGTATTGTAGTTTAATGGTGTTGCGTCAATGGTTAATGGTACTACTCTTACATAATCTCTTGTATAAGATATTGTACTTATTGCTTGACTTGAAATTGATTGTGGAAAATTTATGAATGCATAATGAGACCATTCGGGGTCCCAAATGTAGTCTGACTGTTCTGTGATGGCGGTATCATCGTTTGAATTTTGAGGTCTAAAATTTTTTCTTGCTTGTGAAATTAAATCTATATTATGTGTGAAATAATCTATTATAAACCATGCCAAAATTTTTTGTAAGTCATGTTTTGTATGTTGTGAAACTTCATCTTTAGTGAAATTTTCTTTAATTATATTTAGGAAAGATGAAAATAGTGTGATTTCATGTCGTACCCTTATATGTTTAGATGTATCTGTCGGTGAGACATTTGAGATTGGGATTTCGTTTTCTAATATTGAGATATAACTATATATTATGGCAAAAACTTCATTAGTAAATATGGAGTTTGCTCTTTGTGAGTTATGATATTGTATGCTTTTTATATATTCTGAGAATACTTTTGAAAATTCTAAATCAAGGTCGTCTGTTTGAATTACATATTTGCGGTGATTCGGGTTTGGTGAGGTTAATTCTATGGTGTAGATTCCGTAGTGTTGTGTTAAATTACATATATCTTTCAGATAGTGATCAATAATTTGTCTTTTGATTTTTACATCTGGGAACTCTGTTTTGCATGGGCTGATTCCGGGTTCAAACAAATTTTGGAGTAAATTCTTGCAAAATATATGCTGTCCTCTATCATTGGTTGCATCTACGAGGAAGGGGAAGATATCGTCATCATCTGGACTATCTTCACTTGGAGTGTGTGTTTGGCTCATTTTTTCGTTTAATGACTGTTAATAGGTAATTATCGATGTGTCTAATTGGTTGATTCCAGTTATATAAGTGTACTGGTTTGTGTTTATATTGCTTTTTTATTCTTCTTTTTCCTCTTTTTGATGAATTTGAAGTTGTTTCTGAGTCGGAAAAATATAGTTGATCGTGAATGGGACAATTTTTATCAATTGATTCTTTTAATTTATAAAGTTCGTCTAAATTGCTGGCTTCTGATTCTGAAAATGCGTTTCTATTTTTAAAAAATCTTTTTCGTGTTATTTGTCTTTGTTTGGTTATTATTTTCCTTTTTAGTGTTTGTCGTTTTGTTCTAATATATCCAACTGTTTGTGTATGAGGTGTGATTACAAGATCGTATTTTTTGTTATCTATTTCACAGTTGTGTAATACGATTGTTTGTTTGTTTCCTAGATTTTTAAATGACATAAGGTTTAGGATGACGGATGCAGAAAGTTGTTAGATGATTTCTATTTTCTTAAATTGTTAGTCCTTACGATTTTTTGGTTAGCTTAACCTGGGTCTATTTGTTCAGGGTTGGAGAGAAAAGTATATCGATTCCGAAGAATGATTTTTTACTTTCTCGTGGCTAGTATAAGCTAAGGTGTTAACTTACTTAATCTTACTTAGGGGTAGTGATTGTGTTCAAGGGTTGGAGAATAGTAAATCGATCCACAAGGTTCAGGTATAATTAGAACGCGAGTAGTTCGTTAGATACTATTTTAAACTTACTAAGTCTAAGATTTATCCTAGGTCTTGATAAGAGGAGGGTTCAAGTGAAGGATGAATAACCGAAGTTCTTCACTGTTTATCCTAATTTGAATGATAAGTTTTGTTCAAAAATTTCTATTAGTCTTGGGTTTTTAGAAAGGGTTGGATAGTGAATCGACGTTTGAGGTCGTTAGACACTAACTAAGTGGGTGGGGGAGAACAAAATTGTTCTTTTTGATCCAAGGATAGGCCTTGATGATCAAGTTTTTTTTTTTTAAAGTTAATTAAATAGAAAATGAATTAAGATCCAAGGATAAGCCTTGATGATCTGATTTTAAAATTAAGTGAATTTAAGTTTAAAATGGTTTAAATTTGTTTAAGAAAAAGATTTAGTTTTTTAATGATATTAGTGAGCTTATGATTGCTGTTATGTTTTAGGTGATGAAGCTGGGACAATTAGATGATTTTATGATTACTAACTTTTTATTGTCATGCTACTAATTTTTGTTTTGAATTTCAATAAATATTTTCCAAACATGTTTTATATAATACTGCAGAATTTTAGGAAAACGATCTGAGATCTTTTTATCAATCGTTATTGTATATTAATAGTTTTGTTTTAGCGCCTGAAATGATTATGAAGATTGACTTCAAAATTTTATGTTTGCAAATGAAAATCTAAATTCATTGCTAATAAAATTCTAAATATAAAAGTTTGTGTTGGCTTTTGCCGTACTATCATATAACTATTTGGTAAGTTTCTATTTTGTCGTATGTCGTCTCTGGTTCGAGGTCTTCTTGCAATTCCGGGTAGTTCTGTTATCGTTCGGAATATTGGCTCTGATCTATTGAGTCGTAGAGACATTTCGATTAAATTATCGACGTATAACATTTTTAAAATGTTTTGTCTAAATTCTAATCTATTTTTGGTTAATTCTAAGCTATTAAGGTCTTGTTCGAGACTTATGGTCGCACCAGATGAGTTAGGACCGAGGTGGTTAACTCATAGAGTAATTTCGGATAGGGTACACCGTCTGCTCGTCACGCTATCTTATTTTCGGCCGGATAGATTCGTGCAACTTCTTAGTCTAATACCGATCCTAATCTTACTCTTATACTATCTAGTCTCAGGTTGTTTAACTAGTCTCTGCTAGGCTCAATAGATCTAGGGTATACTGGTTTATTGCGGCTGCTTTAGTCTTCTTGGAGAGTCCAACTAATTTCTAAGTTAAATTCAAATCTCTCTGGTGCTGATATTACAAGTAATTTCAGCACTTACAAATAAGTGGGTTGTTAGTTTGATGGATCATGATTGGTTAATATTAAATACTTTACAGTGGTAAAATATCTAATTTATCCAATCATAAAATGTAGTTTAGATCAGGTTCCATTAAGAATTACTACTAGCACAGAAAAAAGCATTGTGACAATTTTCAATAGTTTCAGTTTCATTACTTGCATGTTAATTTCTCTGGTTCTTTTTCTCGCATCCTTAAAACTTTGAGCTTGAAGCAAAGTTATCAGGAATAATCGCTAAGTTAACTGGTTTCGTTGTTGCAGCTTAGTTTAATAACTTTTAATAGATACAAAACTTGCGATTCAAAATTTAAATGCCAATACCCGAAACATAATCAGTCTCATACAAAAACTAAATAATTAAACGAATTCGGTTTAAGAAATAGTCGGCTTGATAACTGAGAAAAACTTTTTAGCAATTCTCATAAAAACTATACAACCTTAACATAAGAAGGACCCAGTCTAGACAAATTCCATTAATTTCTTTTTCATAACAGATAGATGGAAATTATCGGTAAGAAAATCATGATCCAGAAACTTTGGTAAGCACCTTGGAAGCACACAAACCGCATGCCCGTTAGGATCATATAGGGTTATCAAAATGCACGTTTCAACTACTGCTATGAACAAAGATAAAAAAAATTTAAAATGAACAAAATTTTCAAAAAATGCCACAAAAACTATTTGGCAAAAAATCATTTAAAAACTCTGAAAGCTTGGATATTAACCTAATTACAAGCAAATATGAATTGAATAGTATCGGCGGAATTACAATAAAAAATAAGTAACAAAAAAAGACCTCCGTTCATGTAATAAAAACATTTATATTCAATTTTTTCAAAACATTTACGCCGGAAACAACACACTCTTAAATCTCATGCAATACGGAAAAAAACCTCTGTAGAAAAACAATTCCGAACGAAACAGCGAAAAAAAACGTTCGCGAAATATAATATTTGTCTTTTTTTAATTAGCCCCCTGACCAGCGCCCACCGCCTTTCCTAGGGAGAGAGAGATGTCATCCATTTTGCCAAAGTCAACCCACCTTGAAGAGGCGAATGACATCGGGACCCCTCCAACAGTGGCCAAAGCTGGATTCGAACCCACGACGGTGTTAAAGGCCGCGCGTTTTACCCACTCAGTCACGGCTGCTCTGATTTGTTTTTAAAAAGTTTTAGTATTTAAAAGCAACACGCGGTGTCATGAAAACATGAAAGGATTTAAAACGATCTAAATATGATGCTTAGTTGCATGAAAACAATAGCACTCTTTCAGAACAAAAAAAAACAGAAACCACACATCAAAAAAAGCTGAAAATAATTCAACAAAATTCAAACAAAAAATAGCATTATGAAATTCTTTTCAAACAAAGTTTTAGCGTGTATACAAACCAAAAACCTAAGAACTATCTTAACGCCCTTCAAAATGGAATTGAAGAAAACAATTGAATTGCACGATTAAAAAATGGCGGCAATTTGTTCTGAAGTTTTGCGCTGTCAGGAATTTACAATTTGGGAACTTTATACGCTTGATTGACACTGTGATTTAATTTAGCCAGTCTGATTGGTAACTGACTCCCCCATTTAAACTTATAAAATTATGAACTAGACGAAAAAGCAATTACACAACAATTAAAAAGATAATCAGATGGTCACAAGTATCATAGTAACCGAGGCTACAGTCAGGAGTCCCTTCATCACAGTGTCCAGTCAAAACCCTTGGAATTTTCTAGATTTGGAAAATTGCAAGGTTTTTAGACAATTTTTTTTGACCTGTTCGATGAAAAATTGGTTTTATGTCATGACTTGAAATTATACTTACGTTATGAGTCTCTTACTGTTCCAATCAGTACGAGCCACCGCCAGAGATTTCATTAAACAGTATGTGCATTGCACCAAAGATAACGAAGACGTTCCATATGATTTCTTTCCAATGTTTTTTCGAAATGCAAGTGGTAGGGCAAGTGCTGAGACATGATTGGTAATCATACTTTGCTCTGATTATATTAAATGCAAAAGATTGTAAGCATGTCTTAACCTGAAAAAAAGCAGTTGTTCAGTGGAAAATATTACTTACTAGACGAGGACTGGTTATATTTTTATCGGACTCATCAACCATTTAAGCATGCTCAAAAAGCAGCATAACACTTTTGAAGCTCTTGGATGTTGAAATATCTAGACGAAATTATAAAAAACAACTGATTTTATAAAAAAAACAAAGGAAATTTCAACTAATACATGAAAGTCTATCTAAAACTGCTTTTCCTCTATATGGTTTTGTTTAACCCCCAAAAGATTAAAAGACGGAACGAAAAAAGTAAAATCAACTTAATGTTTGATGAATGAAAACTAAAAAGTTGATTCCCTTCAAAAAAAAATCTTCAAGTTTTGAAACCAGACAATTTTTTATGCTTTCATTGGTCTTTTTTGTCTTCAGTTGTTGAAACTTATGCAATACCCACCCGTGGCATTGCCGGCTTTAAAGTAAAAACTGGTTATCAAAACTGGTTATCAATTGAAAATATAAACTAAAAAGTGAAGAAAACACATTCAATTACTGAAAAAATTAACAATGATGACAGATAAACAAATAATGTTTGATACATGAAAACGAAACTTAATTAGAAAAATCAAGAAGCTATAAAACTAGATGGTTTCTTACGCTATTGATAGTCTTTTTGTCCTTCAGTCTTGTGATTTATAAGATCGCCAGGTCGCTGTTGAAATGAAAAAGAAAAACCAATGAAGGATGAGAGCGACCAAATAGAAGCACAAAGAAGGTTCAAAACTATGAAAAAAAAACAACTATTACAAACAACGAAAATAACGTAATAACATACGTAAGCAATTTTATTAAGCAATTATCGGTGATGAAAGCAAAGGAATATGCATTATCAATTAGCTATATTTTGAAATTTCTTCACCATTACGAGGCCTCGGCAACGGTGAGTACTTTTACAAATGCGGCTTTGTTGGTTTTGGACCTGAAAAGTTGAATCTACAGCCCTTTGATCTTAATTTTGGCTGCAGATTCCGTGAACAAGGGCTAAAAATGAGCTGCTGAGTTCGTGATCAAAAAAGTGACCAGAACTGGCTATGGTAGAGATGGTGAAAAGCATGTAGAGCTTTGTTTAGACGCTGGCCAGTCGTTTTTATAGCTTAGCTTTATTTTCCGTCAATATGTACTTCCGGGAAAATGTAACATAGATGTTTTTATGGCGCTCCTGGATGTTATTATTTTTTAACATCATGACCGGCAGAACCGTTAAAACGAGCACTCCGCGCCGAGCGGATGCTCATAATAACGACATTAATAGGCCCTAACCGCCGGGGCGGATGGGTAGTTCGGAACGCGGAAGCCTTCCGGATTCCCGTGAATAGCTTTTTAATCTAGTTAACACCGAAAATTCACGCTCCAGGAAGGGTGGGGGGATCGACCGTCCCCCCGTTTGTAACATTCGCCCGGAAGATACATATCGACGGAAGACAAAACTAAGTCTTAAGACGACTGGCTAACGTCTAAACAGAGCTTTGCATGCTTTTCACCGTGTCTACCAAGCCAGTACTTTTCGGTGGTCTTTCTAACATCGGGTCGACAAAAACGTTACTGCTTTCGGCTTCGGTCAAAACACTCAAATTAACTAGATTACATGCAGAAATAGTGAGCTCATGGCTGGGTCTCAGTATCCCCAGACCACGAGGTCACTCCTAAAAACAGGGCTACTACTTATTATATTACTATCGTTTTTGTTCAGTAGATAAAAATCATCATCTCCATCGAAGATGGATCAACCCTTTCCCCCAACTCCTAGCTTCTCAACCTTATCAAAATGAATCTAGATGTTAAATAAATTCAAGTCAGGACATGACAGGAAGCTAAGTTTATGTAACAGGATAAAAGTTTCAGTTCCTTTACCCCTCCGGATTGACAAATCTGCTGGATCAAGCGTGTTAATTGTAACATTCGCCCGGAAGATACATATCGACGGAAAACAAAACTAAATCTTAAGACGACTGGCTAGCGTCTAAACAGAGCTTTGCATGCTTTTCACCGTCTCTGCCAAGCCAGTACTTTTCGGTGGTCTTTTCTAACATCGGGTCGACAAAAACGTTACTGTTTTCGGCTTCGGTCAAAACACCCAAATTAACTTGATTACTTGCAGAAATAGTGAGCTCATGGCTGGGTCTCAGTATCCCCAGACCACGAGGTCACTCCTAAAACAGGGCTATTACTATTTATCATATTACTATTGTTTTTGTTCAGCAGATAAAAATCATCATCTCCATCGAAGATGGATCAACCCTTTCCCCCAACTCCTAGCTTCTCATCCCTATCAAAATGAATCCAGATATTAATTAAATTCAAGTCAGGACATGACAGGAAGCTAAAAGTTTATGCAACAGGATAAAAGTTTCAGTTCCTTTACCCTTCCGGATTGATGAATCCGCTGGATCAAGCTCGCTAATCCTGATTTTCTCTTAATCCGGAAGGCCGTCTCTCACCCTTCACCGTTGTTCGCAACGGCCTTGCAACTATTGTGGAAGCACAATAAATGCAACTCGGAGTGTTCTTCTGTTACTCTGTAACTCGTTGTTGTTTTCCGATCTCAATTTCGTTGTTGTTGCTAGCGCAGCTAATGTTGTTCTCTTTTTTCTTTCTTGTTTTCAGCCAAAATGGCCGTTTCTGACGTTTCTCAGAAATATGACGTCATAATTCGAATTTTTGAAATTTTAAAATACCAGAATATTCCAGCCCTCACCGTTTGGCCAATCGTTCCAATAACGTTCTTAGTTCTCAATAATCACCAATCCGGAAGGCTCGCTGCTAAAAACTCGAATTTTGCAGAGATTGCATTTTTCACATTCTGGTCGAATGTCACATACTCCCCGGACAGTCCGGTCAATGTCCTCATTGAATCACGCAATGTTCGTAAAATGGTTACAGTGTCATCGAACAGAATTTACAAAATGCACAAAATTACTTTTATCCACGTCACATCGACTCACTGCAGAATATAAATGGCATCATACTACATCACTATAGCCTTCAAATTCTCTCATTAATCTGCACATTGAGGATATGACTTAAGATAAAACATATTTTTTGACTTCCAATGTCAATGTCCCGATTAATACTTTTTCTCTTAGATTTAAAAGGTGTTGGCTTGCAGGACAGTCCTGCCAACCAACAAGCTAAAATTATCCTACTACGCTTTTCCCTTCGGAAATCTTGCTTGTTATTGTCCTGAATACTAAAACTAAGAAACTCTGTGGTTAAAAAGAACAATGAAACAATCTCCCTCTTCGAGAGATTACTCAAGCCTTCCATGTCACCACAAAGTGATCAGTTCTCCTAGCTGGTTAAAAACAGTCATGCAGGCTGGAATATTTAAATATACTCTTTCACTTAAGCCTTCCTAAATACATAGTAAGTGAGTGTCTCTAAAGCCACTTCAACTAAAATCAAAATGCAAATCTATAATTGCAACAATTTCAAAACTCAACTTAATGTTTCAGTTTTCAATTACAACTTGGTTGCTTGGTTTCTCACTTGAGTTTTCACACACATAAAACAATTCTGAGTTTTAACTTGTCTTCGTCACTCCTTTTTTTTCTTCTTTTTTCGTCGTTTAGAAGTTCTAAAACTTCTAAATTCTTCTAACTTCATCTCTTTTTTTATCTTGTCGTTCGGTCATCCGTCAATGTTCCATTTCTTCCTCCTGTGATACCGACTCTGCACTCTCAGTTTCCGTATCTTGTAACAGATCGTTAGCAATCCTGACGCTGCTGGAAGCCGTCCTCCAACACTTCTGCTCTTCCACCCTCTGTTTACAACAAGGTAGGGGATCCACGTTAGATTCTCTGTTCCTGCAGAAGCTGTTGTGGAGACACAACGTCACGTTTCTCTCCAAATCTTCTTTCAGCATCTCTGCCTTCTCCTTTCCACTACCCTCACTCGTCCTGGAAATTCTTTTCACAGCGGTGGTCACTGCATTCCTATGAATCACGAGAGCTCGCTTGAAAGCTCCTGCTCCAATGTCCAGCTGATATTCACTGTACACCCTGCCGTGCTTCGACATATGCTTTTTCGCATACTCGTACAACCATGCAGTCATGTTAGCTCTGAACCATGGCATCAATCGTTTTCTTGCCCATATCTTCTTCACTTTCATCGGAATGTTTAGAACTTTGCACATTGTCTCAAAAAGATCTAAATCTTTTAGACAATCTAATTTCCGCAACTGTTCTCTCGTCGTCTGTTATTTTCTCTCACATGAGCTTCCAGCCATCGTATCGCCATCATAACTCCCACTATCACTATCGTTACGGGCTGTGATGAATCTGGTAAACCCATGGAGAGCATCTCTCCAGAGTCCCAGATCAACATCAGATTACTACGCTTGGGATACCACCAGGTCTGCAGCAAGCAGTGGCAAGGAAACTCGTCATGCGTCAACATGATGCTCCTCCAATTACGTTTTCCCGAAGCTTCCAGCAATGGTTCCACTTTCATCATCACTCGGTGGACTTCATCATTCTCATCTACTGCATTGTAATCTGTGACAGTTGATCCTCTCTGTTTCTGTCTCTCAAAGTCACTGAAGTTCCCACTCATATATCCCATGAACTTCTTTCCTAGTATTGACTCCAATTCTTCTTTGGTTCTCTCTGGAACTGCTGAGAACATCTTACATAGTAACTCGTAAGACTTTTCAGACATTCTCGCCAATCTCACACACTTCGGCACTGAGAAGGCTTGATCCACGATCGTTCTTGTACTCTTCACGTCCACAGCCACGAAATGTACAGGATATCTGCTCCTGCACATTGGAGCCAACATTGAACCCACCAAATATCGTGCTCCTGATGGTCTACAATAAGTCTCGCTGTGTCTGATGTTCATTTCTGTCTCGATTGCTTCCCTCCATTTCCCTATGTATTTCTGTTCAGTCTGCAGAACTCCTGGGAATACTTCTACACTGATGGCTGTGACCACCTCATGTTTCTGTTCCAGATTCAATAGTGACTCTAAA